AGAAGAGTAGGCCCAGCACAGTGCCACCGCTGCCAGGCCTTCGGACACGCATCAGCGAACTGCTTCAGGCCAGTGAAGTGTGTCCGCTGTGGAGATAACCACATTGCAAGCGAATGCCCAAGGGGTAGAGAGGTAGAGCCAAGATGTGCCAACTGTGGTAATAACCACACAGCGAATGATCGCCGCTGCCCGGTCCTGAGGAGGATCGCAAGGAAGCAAGGGATCACCCTACCGGGGCTACAACCGGAAGCCCCTAGGGGGGTCCCGCAGAGTCGCCCCCGAACAGTGGAAATTCAAGAAGACGGGTGGGCAACAGTTAGAGGAAGGGGAAGGCAACCACCCCCCCCACCCCCCGCACAGCAACCACAAGTAGAGACGTACGAGGCTCCAAAAGCAACCACCGGGACGACTCTACAGCCACCCGCTAACGATGCCACAGAGAGGCAACAGCCAAAGAAGAAGAAGCGGGTGCGCAGTAAGAAGAAAAAAGAGCAACCTCCTCAGGTAGCGGCAGCCACCTCTACCCCTACCCCAGCGGTAACGATGGCCCAGGCGCAGGTCACAGAAAGGAAAACCACCGAGAGTAGAGCCCCAGGAACGGCTCTATCAGAAAATAGAGCCCGCTCTACACAAAGAGCACGCTCTACCCAAGGTAGAGAAGGTAGAGCAGAATTACCGACACCACACCCGAGGACAGTACCAGCATCAACAAGCGCAAGAAGAACACCAACAGCTGCCCCAGACATGACAGATGCCATCCAGAGACTGGTAGGCATCGCTATAGAAGTGGGCAGCCAAGTCCTGGCGGATATAAGAGCCGGGACGGACCCGATCACAGCTATCATGAAGGCTTTGGCGCAGCTACTGGCTCGGCACTACAGTGGTGTCGTGTAACCCGGATAACCTGCGCCTCCTATACTGGAACCCGGACGGAATCCAGCAGAAGATACATGAACTCCGCACTATCGCCCAACAGCAGGACATACACGTAATACTGTTGGGAGAAACGAAGCTGAGACCTGCGACGCGCATAAAGCTGCCGAACTACTTTATATACAGGAGGGACGAGGTCAACGCTCAAGGATAAAGCGCTCAAGCGCCCGATAGTGGTAGAGGTGCTGTACGACGCGGACACACAGCACCTCCCGCTATTAATCACCTTAGGCCTCAGGGCAGTGACGTCGCCTCCCAGAGCCTTCAAGACTAAGATCAACTGGAGGCTCTACCAACAACATCTACTGGAGAGACCTCCAGTAACAACACCGATCAACACAGCGGACGACGTAGAGGCCGCTGCAACCAGAATTACTAAGACGATCACAGAAGCTCTCAACGCAGCCTCTACGATCGTCCCACTTACCAAAAAGAAAGAAGAGCTGCCACAAAAAATACAAATTCAGCTGAGGAAAAAGAGAGCATTAAGGAGGCTTTGGGCGCGTACGCGCTGTCCAAGAATCAAGTCGCAACTCAACACCTTATCAGAAGAGCTGTCGGTTGCAATCCAGGCCCACAGAGGAGAGGCCTGGGAGCGGCGCATATGGAAAGCAGAGGAGGAAGATGCGTCGCTCTACAAATTGAACCGGCAGCTGACAAAAACAAGATCACCTGTATGCGCACTATTAAGTAGTACTGGAGAGAGATGCTATGAGGCCAAGGAAAGAGCGGATATCCTAGCTGAGCACTTCGAGGAGCAGTTTATGCCGAATCCAGCAAGTGCGGAGTTCATGGAGCTTCATACCCAAAAGGAGAGCCGCGTACAGGAGTTCCTGTCGTCGCCCTCGCCAACGCTTGCAGGAGAATGGTTTATTTCTCCCACAGAATTGCGGAGGACGATTAACCGCCTGCAAGTGAGGAAGGCGCCGGGGCACGACCGGATCACGAACGCAGCACTCAGACAGCTGCCAAACAGAACCACAGTAGAGTTAGGAAAACTCTACAATGGCATTCTGCGGACTTCCCACTTCCCGGAGAGCTGGAAAATCGGCAAAATCATCGTCTTGCCAAAACCCGGGAAGGACAGGCGTAGAGCAGCTAGCTACAGGCCGATTACGCTGCTACCGCACATAGCCAAACTGTTCGAGCGCATCGTATTAAGAAGAGTCCGCCCGTGCATACAACTGCGGGCGGAACAACACGGATTTCGGAGCGGACACTCTACAGCTACACAGCTGACCAGAGTGCTGCACCTATTATCGACGGAATACAATTATGAGAGAACGTCTGTGGGCGTCTTCTTGGACATAGAGAAGGCGTTCGACAGGGTGTGGCACTCTGGACTACTCTTCAAGATGAATCAACAAACGAGTGTCCCTCCTGCTATGCTGCGGCTAGTGGCGTCATTTCTAGCTGACAGAAGCTTCTACGTCTGTGTAGAGGATGCCGAGTCCGCAGTCAAGCCAATTAGAGCCGGCGTACCACAGGGCAGCTGTCTCTCGCCGATCCTGTACGCGGCATATACCAATGATATACCGACGCTGGCTGGACAACTGCAGGAATGGGAGGACGACGTAGAGCTGGCGCTATATGCGGACGATAGTGCCTACTTCACGTCGTCCAGAAGAGCCCACATCGCGGTTGCCAAGATGCAGCGCCTGCTGGACCTGCTGCCACCATGGCTGGATGAGTGGAGGATGGCTGTCAACGTGGGAAAGACGGCCGCTCTACTCACCCGCCGTTACAGAAATCTACCACCACCACTGAAGCTAAGAGGCCAAGAGATCGCGTATCAGAAGGCCGTAACCTACCTTGGATGCCGGATCGACAGGATGCTGCGCATGACTGCGCACGTCGACATCGTCGTCCGCAATGCCAGATGTGCGCGGGCGATGCTCCGTCCAGTCCTGGCATCCAAGCTGCCGATGAAAACAAAGATCACTTTATATAAGACGTATATTCGTCCGAGGCTAACATACGCCGCTCCGGCCTGGTACGCGCTCTTGAGCAGCAGACAGAAGCAGCGGTTGCAGGTCCAGCAAAATCAATCACTAAGGACCATTGTCGGTGCAGGTCGCTACGTCCGGAATGACGTCATAGCGGCCAACCTGAAAATGGAGACAATCGAAGAGTTTGTGGTCCGGTTGACGCGCGGTATGTTCGACCGCGCAGACAACGGGCCACATCCACACCTTAACAACTTTGCGCCGCTACACACTCGCCCCCCGGACGGGCGACCTCTACCAAGAGAACTCCTCTCTACAAGAGATTAGAGAGTCGAGTAAAGCCCGCAATGCCACTGACAGGCCAACTTTGATGCCTAGGTCGAAGCAGCCGCCTATACGGCGACTTACCCGACCTAGCTAAACTAATAAATAAGATAACCAACAATGCCGGATTACCGGCTCCCAATGACCGGCCCATAGAAATGGGCCGTGAGGACTACCCGGGTAATGGGGGAGATGCCCCGAGGCCCGAGACCTGCTGGGTGTAGTACACACACCGCAGCAGACGACAACGTAGTGTGTCGCCACCAAGGATCTCCTAAGTGTGTGTTGTTTGTGGATTATACAGTGGTCCCAATCAACCGCCGGTACGACATACTCCGCTAAGCGTCGAGTCCGCATACTCCGCGAGGCGTCGAGGTCACCGGCCCTTAGGCAGATTCTTGGCACTTGAAGCGCTCTCGGCTTTTAAGTGTCTAAGTCGCGTTCTTAAGTGCCACCTGAGCACTTCCCCCAACCCTTTCGTTACGAAAGGGGTAGGCAGTGCGCCAAAGTGTTGCGGTCGACTATCTTTGCTTCCACCTATACCTCGCGGCGCGCATCGAGCAACCTGCTAGGTAAAGTATATAGACGTAAGACACGCGTACACCAACCAAAAACAAAACAGTAGTAACCAAATAGCGTAACATGTCGGACAAGGGGAAGGGGGAACCCCCCCCACCCCCCCGCGTTAGGAAACCCCCGGATCGCCCGGGTGTATTGGATCGGCCTTTATTCGTAAGGAATCTACAATATCCGGAGCGGTCAACGGTAGTGGCATCATTTAGCCAGATTCCCAAGAAGAAGCCAACGTCGCCCCAAGGACCCGCGTCGAGCGTCGCGCTCACTCCCACCGCACCTGAGCGTGCGAGTGGGAAGGAACCGTCGCCCCTGCCTCAGCGGGCGAAGAAAGCGGCCAGGCGTCATACCCCCCCGGAAACGGAAGACTCACTACACGAGAAGCGGCAATGTGTTGAATTACTACAGTCGGATTATGCAACGTCATCGTCAGACGAAGATGAAGCACAAACGAGCCACACCACACATAGATCGCCACCGAAATCGCCGAGTCCGCGTAAACCGACCCCCCCCCCCGCATCGCCGGACCGTAGAAGCACTGTGGATACGGCCGACTACGAGGAGGGAGGTGAAGAATCTTATGGGTGGGGGTCAACGAAGTCGACGACGTACGCGACCCTCCCCCCGTTCGCCGGAGGATCCCCCCCCGCGCCTGCTACCAACCCCTCTGGACTCTCTACGGATGACGGACAGAGGCCATCAACAAGTTACGCCCAACTGGCGGCTGCCCCGGCAGTACCACGACCCAAGTCGCCGGAAACAGCCACCACCCAACCGGACAAAGAAAAGGCACGCTACCCGCCAATAGTAGCAGAATGCCTCCCGGACTGGACAAAGCATTTCGAAGTGCTTAATAGGAAATTAGGCCACCCGCCGAATGCTCGTCCGTTCGGGAAGGGTGTCAGATTTACCCCGCAAAGTCCGGAAGAATTCCGGACAATACAAAAATATTTGATTGAAATATCCAAGGAGCTGCCATCAATGTCGTGGTACTGTTATACCCCTGAAGAAGACAAGCCCACCAAAGTGGGCATCCGGGGGCTACCAGTGGGCACGGACGCAAGCCAGATAGGAGAGGCCATCAGGGCAAAGGGATTTCCTCTTAAGTACGTGAAGGAAATCCCTCCTCGTAGAGGCAGGCCTGGATGCCTCTACTTCGCCCAGCTGGACCACCTGAGCCTGGAGCAGCTGAAGGAGCTCTATGCAATAGATGAACTCCTATTTATGAAAGGCGTAACCATAGAAGCCTGGCAGAGAAGAGTAGGCCCAGCACAGTGCCACCGCTGCCAGGCCTTCGGACACGCATCAGCGAACTGCTTCAGGCCAGTGAAGTGTGTCCGCTGTGGAGATAACCACATTGCAAGCGAATGCCCTAGGGGTAGAGAGGTAGAGCCAAGATGTGCCAACTGTGGTAATAACCACACAGCGAATGATCGCCGCTGCCCGGTCCTGAGGAGGATCGCAAGGAAGCAAGGGATCACCCTACCGGGGCTACAACCGGAAGCCCCTAGGGGGGTCCCGCAGAGTCGCCCCCGAACAGTGGAAATTCAAGAAGACGGGTGGGCAACAGTTAGAGGGAGGGGAAGACAACCACCCCCCCCACCCCCCGCACAGCAACCACAAGTAGAGACGTACGAGGCTCCAAAAGCAACCACCGGGACGACTCTACAGCCACCCGCTAACGATGCCACAGAGAGGCAACAGCCAAAGAAGAAGAAGCGGGTGCGCAGTAAGAAGAAGAAAGAGCAACCTCCTCAGGTAGCGGCAGCCACCTCTACCCCTACCCCAGCGGTAACGATGGCCCAGGCGCAGGTCACAGAAAGGATAACCACCGAGAGTAGAGCCCCAGGAAGGGCTCTATCAGAAAATAGAGCCCGCTCTACACAAAGAGCACGCTCTACCCAAGGTAGAGAAGGTAGAGCAGAATTACCGACACCACACCCGAGGACAGTACCAGCAACAACAAGCGTAAGAAGAACACCAACAGCTGCCCCAGACATGACAGATGCCATCCAGAGACTGGTTGGCATCGCTATAGAAGTGGGCAGCCAAGTCCTGGCGGATATAAGAGCCGGGACGGACCCGATTACAGCTATCATGAAGGCTTTGGCGCAGCTACTGGCTCGGCACTACAGTGGTGTCGTGTAACCCGGATAACCTGCGCCTCCTATACTGGAACCCGGATGGAATCCAGCAGAAGATACATGAACTCCGCACTATCGCCCAACAGCAGGACATACACATAATACTGTTGGGCGAAACGAAGCTGAGACCTGCGACGCGCATAAAGCTGCCGAACTACTTTATATACAGGAGGGACGAGGTCAACGCTCAAGGAGTCGCCTACAGAGGTACGGCGGCTCTAGTAAGAAGAGACATCGTCCACCTAGAGCTGGAACCACCTCAGTACCAAACTATGCGCTCAATCGGCATAAAAATGGAGGCGGCGGGCGAGGAACTAAGGATCTACGCAGCATACCGCCCGCCAGGTACTCCATTTTGCTCCTCAGACATCCGGACAATAATGGAAGGTGAAACACCAACCATTATAGCAGGGGACCTAAACGCGAAACACCCGGCATGGGGATCAAGAATGATCACCCCGCCGGGTCGTGCTCTTTATGATGATGCGGAATTAAACAACTACGACGTATTAGGTCCCGAAGAGCCGACGCATATTCCAGCCGATCACCGGAAGAGTCCGGATGTGCTGGACATCGTGCTCACTAGGAACATCAACTGCCCGATAGTGGTAGAGGTGCTGTACGACGCGGATACACAGCACCTCCCGCTATTAATCACCTTAGGCCTCAGGGCAGTGACGTCGCCTCCCAGAGCCTTCAAGACTAAGATCAACTGGAGGCTCTACCAACAACATCTACTGGAGAGACCTCCAGTAACAACACCGATCAACACAGCGGACGACGTAGAGGCCGCTGCAACCAGAATTACTAAGACGATCACAGAAGCTCTCAACGCAGCCTCTACGATCGTCCCACTTACCAAAAAGAAAGAAGAGCTGCCACAAAAACTACAAATTCAACTGAGGAAAAAGAGAGCATTAAGGAGGCTTTGGGCGCGTACGCGCTGTCCAAAAATCAAGTCGCAACTCAACACCTTATCAGAAGAGCTGTCGGTTGCAATCCAGGCCCACAGAGGAGAGGCCTGGGAGCGGCGCATATGGAAAGCAGAGGAGGAAGATGCGTCGCTCTACAAATTGAACCGGCAGCTGACAAAAACAAGATCACCTGTATGCGCACTATTAAGTAGTACTGGAGAGAGATGCTATGAGGCCAAGGAAAGAGCGGATATCCTAGCTGAGCACTTCGAGGAGCAGTTTATGCCGAATCCAGCAAGTGCGGAGTTCATGGAGCTTCATACCCAAAAGGAGAGCCGCGTACAGGAGTTCCTGTCGTCGCCCTCGCCAACGCTTGCAGGAGAATGGTTTATTTCTCCCACAGAATTGCGGAGGACGATTAACCGCCTGCAAGTGAGGAAGGCGCCGGGGCACGACCGGATCACGAACGCAGCACTCAGACAGCTGCCAAACAGAACCACAGTAGAGTTAGGAAAACTCTACAATGGCATTCTGCGGACTTCCCACTTCCCGGAGAGCTGGAAAATCGGCAAAATCATCGTCTTGCCAAAACCCGGGAAGGACAGGCGTAGAGCAGCTAGCTACAGGCCGATTACGCTGCTACCGCACATAGCCAAACTGTTCGAGCGCATCGTATTAAGAAGAGTCCGCCCGTGCATACAACTGCGGGCGGAACAACACGGATTTCGGAGCGGACACTCTACAGCTACACAGCTGACCAGAGCGCTGCACCTATTATCGACGGAGTACAACTACGAGAGAACGTCTGTGGGCGTCTTCTTGGACATAGAGAAGGCGTTCGACAGGGTGTGGCACTCTGGACTACTCTTTAAGATGAAACAACAAACGAGTGTCCCTCCTGCTATGCTGCGGCTAGTGGCGTCATTTCTAGCTGACAGAAGCTTCTACGTCTGTGTAGAGGATGCCGAGTCCGCAGTCAAGCCAATTAGAGCCGGCGTACCACAGGGCAGCTGTCTCTCGCCGATCCTGTACGCGGCATATACCAATGATATACCGACGCTGGCTGGACAACTGCAGGAATGGGAGGACGACGTAGAGCTGGCGCTATACGCGGACGATAGTGCCTACTTCACGTCGTCCAGAAGAGCCCACATCGCGGTTGCCAAGATGCAGCGCCTGCTGGACCTGCTGCCACCATGGCTGGATGAGTGGAGGATGGCTGTCAACGTGGGAAAGACGGCCGCTCTACTCACCCGCCGTTACAGAAACCTACCACCACCACTGAAGCTAAGAGGCCAAGAGATCGCGTATCAGAAGGCCGTAACCTACCTTGGATGCCGGATCGACAGGATGCTGCGCATGACTGCGCACGTCGACATCGTCGTCCGCAATGCCAGATGTGCGCGGGCGATGCTCCGTCCAGTCCTGGCATCCAAGCTGCCGATGAAAACAAAGATTACTTTATATAAGACGTATATTCGTCCGAGGCTAACATACGCCGCTCCGGCCTGGTACGCGCTCTTGAGCAGCAGACAGAAGCAGCGGCTGCAGGTCCAGCAGAATCAATCACTAAGGACCATTGTCGGTGCAGGTCGCTACGTCCGGAATGACGTCATAGCGGCCAACCTGAAAATAGAGACAATCGAAGAGTTTGTGGTCCGGTTGACGCGCGGTATGTTCGACCGCGCAGACAACGGGCCACATCCACACCTTAACAACTTTGCGCCGCTACACACTCGCCCCCCGGACGGGCGACCTCTACCAAGAGAACTCCTCTCTACAAGAGATTAGAGAGTCGAGTAAAGCCCGCAATGCCAATGACAGGCCAACTTTGATGCCTAGGTCGAAGTAGCCGCCTATACGGCGACTTACCCGACCTAGATAAACTAACTAACTAACAAACAAGACAACCAACAATGCCGGATTACCGGCTCCCAATGACCGGCCCATAGAAATGGGCCGTGAGGACTACCCGGGTAATGGGGAAGATGCCCCGAGGCCCGAGACCTGCTGGGTGTAGTACACACACCGCAGCAGACGACAACGTAGTGTAGTGTGTCGCCACCGACCGAAGGTCTCCTAAGTGTGTGCTGTTTGAGGATTAGCAGTGGTCCCAAGCAGCCGCTGGTACGACATACTCCACCGATCGTCGAGCCCGCATGCTCCGTGAGGTGTGAGGTCACCAGCCCTTAGTGTAGATCTTTGGCACTAGAGAGCGTTCTCGGCTTTCAAAGTGTCAAGTCGCGTTCCCAGTGCCACCTATTGCACTTCCCCCAACCCTTTCGTTGTGAAAGGGGTAGGCAGTGCGCCCAAGTGTTGCGGTCGTCACCTTCGCTCCCAGCTTTACCTCGCGGCGCGCATCGAGTCAACCTGCTAGGTAAAGTATATAGACGTAAGACACACGTACACCAACCAAACAAAACAGTTGTAACATGTCGGGTAAGGAGAAGGGGGAACCCCCCCCCCACCCCCCCGTGGTAGGAAACCCCCGGACCGCCCGGGTATTTTGGATCGTCCACTTAGGATTAGGAATCTGCAGAACCCGGAACGGTCAACGGTAGTGGCTTCGTTTAGCCATATTCCCAAAAGGAAGCCTTCGTCGCCGCAAGACCCCGCATCGAGCGTCGCGCTCACGCCCACCGCACCTGAGCGTCCGAGTGGACGGGAACCGTCGCCCTTACCTCAGCGGGCGAAGAAGATGTCGCGAAGGCATACACCGCCAGAAACAGAAGACTCCCTGCATGAGAAACGGCAATGCGTGGAGGCATACTGCTACACATCTTCATCAGAAGAGGAGGATCTACAAACGGCACAACGTTTTAGAACGCCACCTAAATCGCCTAGTCCGCGCAAAACTACTCCACCAATTTCACCGGAACGAAGAAGCATTGCAGATATGGCAGACTTCGATGGAGGTGAAGAATCCTACGGCTGGGGATCTACAAAGTCAACGACTTATGCAACCCTAGCCCCATTCGCCGGAGGATCCCCCCCCGCGCCTACCACCAACCCCTCTGGCCTCCATATGGACGACGGTCAGAGGCCTTCTACAAGCTATGCTCAACTGGTAGCTGCCCCGGCAGTACCACGACCGAAATCGCCGGAAACTGCAACAACGCAGGAAGAAAACGACAAAAAGGAGAAAGAAAAGGCACGCTATCCTCCTATAGTCGCCGAGTGCCTCCCGAATTGGACGAAACATTTCGAAGAACTTAACAAGAAGTTAGGACATCCGCCGAATGCTCGTCCGTTCGGGAAAGGTGTTAGATTTACACCACAAAGTCCGGAAGAGTTCCGGACTATACAAAAATACTTGATCCAATTAACAGAAGAGCAACCATCAATGTCGTGGTACTGTTACACCCCCGAGGAAGACAAGCCCACAAAAGTGGGCATCCGGGGGCTACCAGTGGGCACAGATGCAACCCATATAGGCGAGGCTATTAGGGCAAAGGGATTTCCACTTAAGTATGTGAAAGAAATCCCCCCTCGAAGAGGCAGACCTGGATGCCTCTACTTCGCCCAGCTGGACCACCTGAGCCTGGAGCAGCTCAAAGAATTGTATGCAATCGACGAACTACTATTTATGAAAGGAATAACCATAGAAGCCTGGCAGAGAAGAGTAGGCCCAGCACAGTGCCACCGCTGCCAGGCCTTCGGTCACGCGTCCGCAAACTGCTTCAGGCCAGTGAAGTGCGTCCGCTGTGGAGATAACCACGTCGCCAGCAACTGCCCTAGGGGTAGAGATGAAGAGCCAAGATGCGCAAATTGCGGTCAAAACCATACGGCAAATGACCGCCGCTGTCCGGTTCTGAGGAAAATAGCAAGAAAACAAGGGATCACCCTACCGGGACTACAACCGGAAGCCCCTAGGGGGGTCCCTCAGAGTCGCCCCAGAACAATTGAAATGCAGGAAGATGGATGGGCAACGGTGAGAGGGAGGGGAAGACAACCCCCCCCACCCCCGCCACCTCCCGCAGAACAAACGCAGATGGAAGCACCGGAAGTAATCGCTCCTAGAACAGCAACAACAGGGGCGACCTTGCAGCCACCCGCTAACGATGCCACAGAAAGGCAACCAAAAAAGCGG